AAAACTGTGGAGACAGTCTGTCCCAAAACAAGTACATTTCTCAGAAAAATTGCCCTTTTTTAAATCGGAGGTACACATTTTAAAAGATAAGCTAAAAACTCATGAAGATGAGTAACTTGAGGCATTTTTATATAATTTTTGCCATATATTACTGTATATCCTATACCAATACAGTAAAATTAGCAGTAATTAATATATTGTGATAATAGCTCATGGACAGAAAAACACAATAGCAAACTCAAAGTTCTGAATCTTCTCTACACACATATGGGAAGTCAGTACGGAAGCACTGCAGGGAGGACCTGCTCAGGAAATGCTTCCGGGCCACTCAGCAACTCTGACAATGACTAATTATTCATCTGGGAAGACAAAAACCGAAAATGTAACTCACAGTATATTAAAATATATATTTTCTAACTCAACCCCAGATGGGTTTTTAAGTCAAAATACCCAAGTCTTTCAGAAGGAAACAAGTAGTGCCCTGAACAGGAAGACTTTTTTTAAAGTTAAATAAAGAAAAATCTTTGTTAGAAAACACATTTATGATGAGAGAGATTAATAGTTTGGAAATACTGGAATCAAAATATTCTCTTTACTAAGAGATACTTTTTAAAAAGTGAACAATCAAACCACAAATTAAACCATACAAAATGAATAAAGGTTGCTAAACCAAAATGAATAGAAAAAATGCCAAGAATGCAATTTATTAAAAAAACAAATGAGCAAAAGATACTAGCAAGCATTTCACATTTGCAGGTGTGTCTGCATTGTTGCTGTTCCATCTGCACAGGCCCCAGGCCAGCAGCCAGCTCCTGACTTTGAGTATTTACCTAACAACTTCAAACTAACAGAAAACAAGCCAAAACAATTTACTAGGCTATATCTTTGTGTCAAATAATAAGGCATAGCTGTGACCAGAAAAAGCATAAATCAGGAGTACAATAAAATATTATTTGCACCCGTGTAACTGGAGAAAATTAAAAGCCAGAAAATACCACATACACGATAGTATAAAGTGAATTGTTAGACACCAATGGTGGGAATGTAAAAGTCACCCCTCACCCCAAGGAAAACAATAAACTTTGGAAAACACTTTAGCATCACGTGGTGAGGCTGAACATGCAGTCTCTTGATGTGTCTTAGAGAGCTTACGCATGCACGCCCCAGCATCACAGCCGCCCCATCTAAGTTAACCACAAAAGTAGAAGTGACTGAAATCTTGCAGCCGATAAACAGATGAACAGTAAAATATTACAGCAATGAAAAATCCAGCTGCATAGAATAACGTGGATTCTCGCAGAAAAAAATGACAGAAAAAGTAGATCATACATGACATTGAGGCAAAATGAAAATAAAAACACAGAGTTTGGGAATACAGTGGTGCATGACGTACTTTGTTTACTAATCCGATGAACACAGATGGACTGAGAATGCCTTGGCAGGAACGGTGCCACAGTCTCAACCACCAACATCCCGTAGGGACACCGGTTCCTGTCCCGCTGCTCCACTTTCCCTCTGGTTCCCTCCCTGTGGCCTGGAAAAGCAGCCGGATGGCCTAAAGCCTTGGGACCCCTGGCACCTGCAAGGGAGAGCCAGAGGCTTCTAGTTCCTGCCTTCGGTTCAGCCCTGCCCATTGCAAGCACTTGGGAAGTGACTCAGCAAATGGAAGATCTTACTCTCATTCTCTCTGTAAATCTGACTTTTCCATAAAAATAAATGAATCGTGAAAAAAAAGATGGATATGACACAATTGGTGATGCCCCTGTTTTCACACTCTGTGGAATTCAAGATCATTGCGTTACTCTTATGATTCCTAGTTTACACCTACTGATTTACATGTGTGAAACACTTACGTGATAAAAATGTAAAGTGAAATATTGAGATTAAAGCTTATTCAAGAAACAGCACCAAAAGCTTTCCTAACTGATCTGCTTGTTTCTTTCCAGATTTTGAGAATTTTACTTCTACTCCATTACCACATCTATGACACTCCCTATCTCCTTTAAATCCGCTTCAACAACTTTATAAATGGTGTCAAACACCAGCACTAGGAGTTACTAGACAGCACCGCGGGAGGAACAGGATGACTCCACCGAGGGCCGTGTGACTGCTCTGTGCTTACATCTGCTCCCAATCTGATTAAAACTCAAAGAAACCAAATTCAAGTCCTCCAAGTTTCATTCATAAGGAGAGAAAAAAAATAAAACAAATATATTAACATAATTTAGTGCACTGTTTTATTTTACTGTTATCTGACAAAATCAGTTTTAAAAAAAATCAGTTTCCATGCTGACATCAAAGAGCAAGTTTTGTTTCTCAATTTTTTTTTTTTTGAACAGCACACTCCCAGTGTGCTAAATGTTTCTGAAAATGAGTCCGTTACTTTTCCTAATGGTCACAAAGCAGGAGACATGGGGAGAAAGTTTCAAGTCAGGGTCTGCAGAGGAGATACACTGTACCTTGAAAGCATAAGCATAAGGAAAAGATCCTTAAATGTGCTCATGACAAAAAAAATCAATTGACATAGAGGAATGGCAATCAGACTCACAGCTGATCTCTCACAGGAAATTCTACAGGACAGAAGAGAATGGAGCAACATATTCCAAATTCTAAAAGCAAAAAATTGTCAGCCCAGAATAACACATCCAGCAAAGCTTTCCTTTGTCTTTAAAATAAAATAAAATTCTTCCACAATAAAGAAAGTTAAAAGAGTATGCTTCTTCCAAACCTGCCCTACAAATGATACTTCAAGATGTTCTCTTGACAGAGTGAAGGAATGGGACCCACCAAAACCAAAGGCAAATGTGAAGAACATCCCAGTAAAATGACAGAAGACTAAATCAAACAATGAACACCTGAGTGCTAAAATGACAAGACCAAATTACCACCTAGTCATATTAACCCTGAGTGTAAATACCTTAAACTCATCAATCAAATTTCATAGATTAGTTGACTGGATTAAAAACACAAAATCCATCTATCTACTCTCTGCAGGACACACATTTCATCAACAAACATCAGCACAAACTCTATCTCATGGATTTTGTTTTTTTTTTTATTGGGCCCGGCGCGGGTGGCGCAAGTGGTTAAGGTCCTCGCCTTGCACGCCCGGGATCCCATATGGACGCCGGTTCTATCCCAGCAGCTCCGCTTCCCTTCCCATCCAGCTCCCTGCCTGTGGCCCGGGAAAGCAGTCGAGGACGGCCCAAGGCTTTGGGACCCTGCACCCGCGTGGGAGACCCGGAAGAGGCTCCTGGCTCCAGATCGGCATAAAATTGGCTGTTGCGCTCACTTGGGGAGTGAATCATCGGATGGAAGTTCTTCCTCTCTGTCTCTCCTCTCTGTATATCTGCCTTTCCAATAAAAAAAAATAATAATAATAAAAATAAATCTTTTTTTGTTTTTATTTTCATTTCTTCAAAACAGATTTTTCTTCTCATTAAATTCTTTAATGACTCATGCTATCATTAGTAGTATCATTTTCTTCAGGAAGGTTCTTGATTTTCATTTCTTCCGTGACACACACTGGTCATTCAGTAACATGTTATTTAACTTTACGGCATTGTAAATTTCTATTTTTTTCCTGTTGTTGATTTTGTGGCTTTTCATTTGAGGGATGTACATAACTGTGTAATGGAGACTATCATATCCAGATGTGAGGATACAATGCAATATGTATCTCTAGTTCCAGATCAAAGATGGACTTCCAATGAACCTGTTAACTATATCTTGACAATAGGATGCTGGACTCTGTGCCATTGTCCATTCCCCCAGTGCTGGATTTATGACATTTTGTGAGGGACTATCGTGTTGTGATGATATGGGGGAAATCAGTGGGGGGAGAATGGGTCTTGGGAACGGGGTAGGTAAAGCCCAGAGCCTATGGAACTGTATGATAAAATAATAATTAATAATAAAGTTTAAAAAAATGGATGGAAGAAATTACTTCTACTGATACTTAGTAACTGGACTAGATTTAAAAGATACTTGAAAAAACGGGAAAACACATGAGGAGAACTTGATTTTCCTTCAATATTGGAGGAGCACAACTGGTTTTGCTGAGTGCTGGAACTCTCCACCTTATGAACTGTGCCCCATGTGCTGTTCTCGCTTTTGCCTCGGGTACGTGTAACAATCATTAATGTGCTTTCTACGTCGAAAACCAATTTCTGCACTTTGTGTTTTGATTTTTTCTTTTGTACAAGTCACACCTGATGTAACCGGTGAAATGACACACACAGATGCCTTGCCCCTCCCTCCACTTCTGTCATCATACCTGCGCATCATTTCTTTCAAACCATGAGTCTTGTGCGTGTATGTGACAGACACACCTGAATTTGTCATTTTTCTAAGCAAGAAAGGGACTGTATTTCGTAAGCTTCAGTACGATTCTGTTTCTTATGTAAAAAGAAATCATCATTATCAATTGAAACAATGGCCTTTTTTAAAGCTGTATGACGATATCATTTAAGCTGCAGTATTGTATCCGTAACTGCGTAACATTTCCTGAGAACCCTAGTAGAGTTTAGATGAATACACGACAATGTGTTCAGCTATTCTGCTAACTGGCATTCAGGGTGTTTCGGCTCTCAGTCATTCCAAAGCACCGCAGGACACGAACACAGGCAGGTGTGAGTACAGAGGCTCGCAGCCCCAGTTCTGGGGTGTCAGGGCCACAAGATGCTCACATCCCCAGCTCTGGGGTGCTCACGGCCGCAAGACTTTCACACCCCAACTCCAGGATTCTCTGGCTGTGGCCGGTCTAACAGAGAGCCGCACCAACATCTCACAATCTTCTGGGCCTGTCTGGGCAACAGCTATAAAACCTCGAGGACTCATGACACAAAGTTCACGAAATTTCTAGAGTCAATTAGTTTCATATGACTTTGGATTTTAAGATCATGCTTGTGGTGATTTAATTAGCAACACTGAAATGATATGGTATCTGAATAAGCATTTCCATCAAAAACAATGTCATATAAAGAATTGCTTTAATTTACCTTTTTTTGAAACTTCTGCCCCATTGAGTTCTTTTTGTGCTTCTTCAATTTTGTCTGAGGAAAACAAAGAAAACTATATAAACGGATGCACCAAACAAGAATACACAAAGCAACATACATATCAGGAGAAATTTGCTGAATGATTAATGAAAGCAATATGTGTAAACTATCCATATTTTCCTTTACATTTATAAATTTACTTTTAGTCACAATAAATATTCCTATAATGAGAAAAAGAGCACCCTTTTATTGAACTACAGCTAAAAAAATTTTTGAGTTTTCCAACAAGAGTATCTAAAGGTAACACTTTCCTCATATACGAAGTTCCCAATGGGGATTTTATTAGAGCCGCACTAATACCGACTAGCTTAGAATTAAGACTAAGCAGAATCCAGGTGGAATTACAGCTCGTTCAGTCACACCTCTAAGCTCGGCAGCCAGCCAGTCACAGTCTTGAATTAACGGCTGGCAGAGCGAGGTGGAGGCTGGATCCACTTGTGTGACTGGGAAGTGACTGCACAGGGTCAGGTGGGGGCGGAGGTCCAGAGGCAGAATCAAGATGGCTTCATGAAAGACCCCTGAGCACCTGGGGTCTCTCCTTCCCAGTCCCCCAGTTTCATGGTCTGTCTACCAACCGTCCAGCCTCTCCAGGTGCCTCAAACAGTGGGGTTGCCTGACCTCACGCCAGGAACCACCAAAGTGCCAGCTCCAACATGCCTTCTTCCTGTCCGAGAAGTCCCTCCCTGGAATCTCTGGTTAAACTATCCAAAAGCTGCCAAACACAGGCAGACTAAGACCTAGCAGGGCCACAGGAGACAGGGAAGGATGGACAGCAGAGGTGACAGGGATGTGGGGGAGGCGTGGGGGTGGGCTGGCAGCATCTGCCAGTTAGCAGCTCCATGGGCAAAGCTGCAGGAAAGACCTGCTGTAAGGAAACCCCGTCTACACCACCGCTGCCTGACCGCCTGCACAGCCTGGAAGGCCAGGTGTGACTCAGAGGCAAGCAGGACCAACAATCAGCAGGGCTTCCTTGGGCTGCACGAAGGCAAGTGAGTCTGGGCCCAGGGCAGCTCCTCTGGGATTTCTGCCTCTGGAAACCACTGGGTTTTGTAAAGGTACAGCTAGTCTACCTTTCCTGAGGATATTCATACCTATGATGAACCCATCCTACACTTAATACGTCAGTCTGAGCGTTTACTGCAACAGTACTTTCTAAAATTCCAAGAGTTGTACTTTGTACTAAATTCAATGACATTAATAACTAACGTTTTTGGTAGCCCTGGTATAGTTTAGATTAATGTACTCAAAATACTGTGTTGGGGGTCATGCAAAGCAGTAGCCTCTGCCTTCCGGTAAAATCAGCAGCCCCAGAAACTGTCTCCAACGGCAGATCGACCGGGGCTGGCCGCCGCAGGGAAGCTCCCAGACGCACATGCACCAGACTGCCAAACGCAAACCCCACCGCGCAGCCGTCAAACTCCGGCCTGCCTGCCTCTTTCGAGAAAGCCCGGAAATTGAGAAGACCTTCAACCTGCTGATCACATCTCCCTCAATTTCATATTGATCTGGCCAGCCTGCTAAATGAAGGCAGGATGGGAGCCACAAAGGAGGTCTGAACCCTGAGCTGGAATTACTTCCACAATAGTCAAAAACAATAACATTTTATCCTGACAAATGCATCCCCACACGGCAATATCCTGTTTGTCCCTGCTAATCATCAGATCCAGAAAACAAATGGACGGGGGCAGACATCCTTGAGAAAGAAGCACTTTCTCTAATTTACAAGTATTAGCAACTTCTCCTGAAACGATGAGATATGCACAGAAGTCAAGAGGGGGCTCACATTAAACACAGAAACTGCGCAGCGTAGTCAAGAGGAATTAAACCTTGAAGAGAAAAATGTGAGATGCATGGAGCATATTTGCGTCAATATAAGGAACAAGAGGGTAAGACCTACTTAAAAAAATAAAATACACTAAGTGCCTTGTAGATATTCGAACTAAATACACAAAACACATAATTTAAACACAAAGTCCTTGAAAAACACAAAATGGAGCTTTATTGCTGAAGCACTATTATTTCTATGCCAGCAGTTCACTACACTTCAGAATCATAAATAATACATGCATATATTATATATATTCATGGTACTAATGGCTGTACTTAATAGAATTTATGTATACATAATCTAGCATTATACATAAAAGCAACTTTTTGTCAATAAAACCACTTGTGGCCCAAAGCAACAAAAACTCCTATGATTTCACAAATATAAAGAACAGCTACTGTTCACACATGGGAGTTTGGCCACCTTCTGTTAGTACTCTATCATAACAAAATGTTATAAAAACGACTTCAGTGCATATTTGCTTGCAAAACATTAGTTGCTGCTTTCTGGAAGTTTCAACTATGTCACCTTTCTGTCCTAATAACAGCAGCACACAATGCAGACTGCTGACTCAGTGCCGCCACACAGCTGCAGCCAGCGCCCCACGAGCGCTCCGCAGCCCCACGAGCGCTCCGCAGCCCCAGCTCACCACGTACACAGAATCTTCAATTAGAGACTTGTAACAGCCATTATTAAAAGCTATTGCTGGATTCAATTTTTTATTTTTAAAAATTTCATGTATGTGCAAACTGTATCTTATAATTCTCCTCATAAATATAATTTGGTTCACAGACTATGCAATTACAGAGAAAGTAGTTACTTATTGTACGTTCCTTAACTGGCTCACACAAGAAAATTTAGTGATGTTTCCAGAAATATTCATCATTTTTTATCATGTTTAAGAAGTACATTTTCAAATATTCTGACTCATCACATATTTCCACACATATAGCAAATACATATAATTCTGAAAAAAAACCTAACCACTTTCCATTTTCTATCTTTTCCTATTAAAGCTGGAAAACGCTGCTGCCAACCACCACAGCGCCCTGGGCCTCCTGGCTGGGCTGACCCTGCCGGGCGAAGGCAGCACACTGGCTCCTGAGCACCTAGCGCAGGGCAGCGCTGGCCATTGTGGCTCCTCATATCCTGAGGCCTGATGGGGCAGTGAAGGAGGAAGGGAGGGAAGGGCCTCAGGTTCTGAGACATCCCCCAATGCCCTCCCTCCTCACCCTGCAATCAGGATAAAATGGCTCAAAGACTATACATTCAGAAAACATAACGGCTTCTCATTTATCTGAAAAGAAATATACAAACAAGACAGACACACCACGTCAGTAAATATGGAGGAAGTTGTGCAATCTTGGTATGAGAAGTTATAACTGGTTTAAACTAAGATGTAAGCCTGAATCACTTCACCAAATAGCCTCAGAATCCAATAACACACGAATGGGTCCATAGTCTTTCCCAGGATGCACAGGGCCCAGGGCGGAGTTGACACCAGGCCAGAAAAGGTGTTACTCACAGCAGATTTGTGTCAGCTGCTACTATGAATGCATGCCTGTTTTAAAAAAAAAAAAAAAAAAAAAAGGTTCTCCTCCTTTTAAACTAAAAAAAAACTGCTAATAAAAAAGTTTAAGAATTACGTTATATAACGCCATATTTAACGTACCTTTTTTTGTTCTAGAACAGGACAAAAGCATGTTGTTTAGGGGTCGCTTGTGAGAGTGGCATCCATATCAAAGTGTGAATCCTGGAAGACACTCTACTTCTAATCTAGCTCCCTGCTAGTGCACCAGAGACAGTAGAGATGATGGCCCAGGTACTTGGGGCCCTGTCTCCCATAGGGACCCAGAAACAGACCAGCTCTCCTGGAGAGGCTCACAGCTTCTTACAACCATCAGACAAGCACAGTAGAATCATCTGGCGGTATCTAAAGCTGGGAGAGCTAACAATGCTCTTGGCAACCTAGCTACGTCTTCCTCCTGCCCTCCGATGCTCTCTCATAAGGCTCAGCCACGCAAAGCCAGGTCCTGCCAGATCCCTGGAACATAAGGGTAGCTTTTCCCTCCCACACCAACTTATTTCTAGGGACTGTCCTTCCAATATGGTGCCGCTTTCAGCAAGCCTTCCCTAACTTCTCATTCAGGGCCCATCAGCCCCTTCTCGGCACCAACACCAACCTGCTTCTCTATAGTTAGATGCTGCATGATTGCAAAAAATGGAGCTGCATGATTTACGGATGCTGAAAACCCTGCTGAGGACTTGCCAAGCAGCTCTGAGAGCACGGGTGTGCTCTGAAAAGTAAATCTACTGAAAACTGGCATGGCAGTCTCTTCAGCGAGCTTAGCACGTCACCATCTTGAGCACTAGAAAAGACTTCAACAGTTGGGAATATTCAGGGTGTACACAGTGGGCACTTGCTATGGTTTAAACAACTCACGTTAAACCCCAAGGTCCCAGGCATGGTACCTGGAGGATGGACACTTACTCACGGTTGGGAGGTGGTCCTGCTGGGAGGTTTGGGGTCACGAAGGATGTGCCCTAAGAGCTCTGCCAGGGCCAGGGCAAGACCCAACTCTCTGAGCTTCCTGGCTCACCACAGAACCCTCTTCCAAGCAAGCCCAACACTGTCATCCGCTGGACTCAGCCTACATCCAGCCGTGGGTCCCCCAGTCATGGACTGTGAATCACCAAAACTGTGAGCCAGAGAGGACCCCTTTGATTTCATACATTTATTTTCCTAGGATAGTTCATTATAGTAATAAAAAGTTAATTTAGCACTCAAATTGACCACTGCTCTAGCCACTCCACAAGACCCACCTTACTTCGCCATCCACACTGAACTCCATCAGCTCAACCTTCTCTCTGCTGGTTGCACTAGGTGACAGACAGCCACCCTCTTCGTTGTGCCTTGGAAGCACAAACTAGTGCAAAGTGCAAGCTGATGGATATGTTAATAACCCCGACTTAATCATCACTAAGCATACCATAAAAACTGTCTAAGTATTATATGGAAATCAAAAACATATTAGTACATGACAAAATACATTCTGCTGAACTATAAAAAGATGCCTGTGTTTACTGAAAGAGGCACCATCTGGAAAGGATCACCACACGACTCCTACTTCCTCTCATTAAACATCAGCTCCAACTTTTTACTGTC